TTTTTGTCCTACCGAAAATGTGCCTGGAGTCCACCTTTGTTATTATAACAAACTACACTTTCAATGTGATTTTAAATCATTCAAGTCAAGAAGACTTACAGGCTGTTTTCTCTGCTGGACACACATCCTCATGTAAGTGTTCTTTAGCCTGTTGATTTTCATTCATAGTATTCAGCTAACTATGAAATATTTTGCAATAAGACGATATCTAAGATTTATTTTTATTTATTTATTTTATTTTTTTACCTTATTGGAATCGAAATTTTGAATTGACAAGAATTGGAATCATTAAAATTCAAACAATGCCCAACCTTACCCATACCCCACATTATTTTTTACTGGCACCTTTCTATTCACACTGTTTTAGACTATCGTTTCTTTTAAACCTTCACTTACATTTACATTTAGTCATTTTGCAGACGCTTTTATCCAAAGCGACTTACAATTTCACTTAACCTTCTTTGCTTTTGCCCTTCTTAAAAGGGAAGATGACATCAAGAGAGCGGCTGAGAGTGTCAGAGCTGCCTTTGGGAAAGTGGATTGGATCATTCCCAGCAGGCACACAACGTCATAAGACATTGATATTTGGTTAAATATCGATTGCGACGTCGGGTGACCAAAATTCAATGTAAATTCAATGTCTAATGTCAATGTTAAATTGATGTCCAATACCAACGTCAGCAGACGTTGATATTTAGTTGTTTTTAGGTTGTGTAACCAAAATCCAATGTTAAGTCAAGGTCAAGTTATTTTCATTTTCATTGAAATTCATTTTCAACCAAAATGCAACGTCTGTCTGACGTCATGTCCAATGTCAACCTGACGTTACATAGACGTCCGGTGCCTGCTGGGTTAATTCTTCAGCTATGCTTCATCCGTCCGGTAAAGGAGAAACAAGTTTATGAGACGTGTCCGCTCAATACTGCAATCATACTTTGAGGGGCATATTCAAATGTATTTGAAATAGGAAAAAAAAAAAAAAACACTTTGGCGTTCCTGTTTTTTTTTCCTTTTTCAGGGACTAATTTCCACTTTGACCACTAATATAGTGGGTCTACTGGTGAAGGCCAAGTATTTTCCCCCCTGCTTCAGAAGGGAACAGGGGTGTTTGGCCAACAGTCCCCAAAGAAAGAGAAACAGCACAGTGGTGTCATTATGAACATGACTGCTAGAGTGGGATCAATGGTTGGTATCTAAGCATATGTCAAGAGCAAGTTGTTCTCCATTTATGTAGAAAATGAGGGTTGAACACGGTATGGCATCAGGTGGGGAGTCAATAACCAAGTAACAACTTTATGAAAGAATTACTCAGCTGTCAAACATCAGATGAGCTCATGTGAAAAACTGAGAATTTAGAAAGTTATATGTAGCCTATTTGAGGCTCCATTTGTAACCAACTGCCTTCTGTCTGACCTGTTCTGATGTTAAATTTGTGCTACACTCTTAAAGCATATGTGTTAAAAATAGTTTAATTGACTAATTAAACGTGTCTTCATTTACAATAGATCAAGCAAAGGAAAACATAAGACTCATTTTAAGTTACCACTAGCGGGTCTTGTAGCGGTCTGGTAATTCTAGTCTAGAAATTTGCACAAGAGGAAAGATCACAAGCAGTTTACCGTTGACCACATACTGTGTAAAATACACATTGACCATCTACAGATTACAGAGAACTTGGCAAAAGACATTTTGAAATTCTCTAACATCAAATAAAAGTACAGTAAATTACCTGACTTCCAAACATCGAAAATATCCCAAAAAGCTGAGGCTTTGCTTGTGAGAGAAATAAGTGACGTAAGCAGCAATGTGATTGAATGATAATTAAAACAGACTATTTTGTTGGACAGTTGCATTTTTTTTCTTTTTCATTTTTTTTAACACAACTTGACACATAGTTTAAGTAGTCATAAATTTAAAAATGTGTTATTAATTACTACATCCTTTTTAAGAGCATACATATCAGCCATCCAGGGCCCACAAATATGACAATACCAAAACAAATTGAACATTTATATTATAATTTTTTGCATAGTAATGCAAAGAAACTCATACACATTTTCCACAATAATTTCTATCCCCATTCAAGTCAGCTTCCCAAAATAAATCAGTTTGAATATCATGTTACTTTTCTGAGCAGGGCACAAATAATTAACACCTACCAATATACAATTATAGCAATATGCTGTGAGTGGCCACAGATGAAATTAACTAGAGTTGTCTATAGCTGCATCTGATCTGTTTCTGTCTCAACAACCCAAAGCTCACATTTCTGTTGGTTTATTTTTCTGTCTTCAGCTCTTGGAGGCTGGTACAGCTATAGGATGTCTAAAGCTGCCTTAAACATGGCCACTAAAAACCTGTCCAATGAGCTGGGATGAGGGCGCTCTAAAATTGTGTGTGTATCCCTGCATCCTGGAACTGTGAATTTGTCTCAGCCCTACCATCGCAACGTACCAGGACAAGCTGTTCAGCACAGAGTACTCAGTCCAATGCCTTATGAACATTAGACACTCTAAATATAGACAAAACTGGTAAAGCCTATACATAGGACAGTACTGAAATACCTTGGTAAACTTTGTCTTATCAAAAACAACAGTATTCTGTGTGTACCCCATTTTAAAATAAGGTGGATGAGAAAAAATGGCAAAGGAAAATAATGCTGAAACAAATCAAGCAAAGTCTTGTACTGAAAATTAATGTTTGTATATTAAGGAAACATTGGATTAAAAAAATTACTGTTGTTTTATTGAAAGTCTTTGAAACATACACATACATTCCAGGAAGACTTGTAACTGTCCTTGTTTCTTTTTCATTTTGACTGAAAGAATAATGAAGTCTATCTGCTGTGCTCAAAACAAAGAACTACCATGTCAGATAAGAAGAGCTTATCACAAATTTCAGTATGAAAGACGTCATACTTGGATTTTTGTGTTTATGATATAATAGTTAAATCATTTTAGGACTATTTTAAAAGCTATATGCATGGTGAAAATGTTATTTGCTCCTTTGATCGGACCCCATAAAGGTTTGTGTGTGTGTGTGTGTGTGTGTGTGTATTTGTTTCATAGATTAAAAACAACATTTTCAATTGTCATTTGCCCTCATTACGTTATGGCTGAAATGTCCAGTAGTTGAGGACTACTTTCCAAGTAGTTGAGGTCACTGATGTCACATTCGCTGCAGTTTCCTGAATGATTTGGCCCCCCTCAGTCCTGTAGCTATTTTAGCATGTATCTATTCTGAAAAGTACCGCCCACAGTACTTTCCAGAAATGTACACAGTGAATGAAATGACATTTGATGATGCAATTATTCTTTAACACTCTTTAGTGTTTGTCAGATATACTCTTCTGACGCTAACTAAAAGGACTGACCAAAGTTAGTTACCACTGATTGGAGACTTACTGGTGATTTGCCTCTGGTTAGTGTGGTTTACTTCTCTCTGCCACTCAGTCTTAATTGTCAGTACTCTTTTTCCCCATTAGGTGGCCAAGCCAGTTGAGAACAATCACAAGGAAAAAGACAAATACATTTTCCTCTTAATTTAAAAACCTAAATCAAATTCTCAACCATTTAAAATTTCTACAAAACAAAACATGATTGAAAATAAAGAATAGAAATACATTTTGTTTTGTTCATTAACCCTATTTTATTTATTGCAGAATTGTTAGATTTGTTATTATAAGTGGATAAGGTGGGAAAAGTCTTTTTTTCTACCATTCAAACACTTGGTAGGCTATTAGTTTGCATAAGGTGTGTACGTTTGTCATTTATAAATGTCTGTATTTGTTTATTTCAGCATGAAGACACATCATGGAGATTTAAAACTAATTTATTTCAAATGTCTTATAAAAATAGCCTGCATTTCTTACGTTATTTTGGTTAATAATTCACTAATTTGAACCCTCCTTCATCTCTCTCTTCCTAATGTCCTTCCTTACCTCCATGATACTTAGCCTGCTTGATACCCGAGAACCACTAAACTGAAACTCCCCTTTGACCTCATTCACCCCACACACATTCATGCAGAGAGAACTCGCTTTCAATGGCTACTCATTAAAATAATTCATTTGAAACGATAGATAGATAGATAGATAGATAGATAGATAGGGTGTTATCAACACAGCACAACAAGAGTGGCGCAGACGAACATGCCGTACACCCTTATACCTTGCAGACAAAAGGGAGACATTTAAAGACATTCTGAAATAACTTGTGAGGAAAGATCGTTCTGTACTTTGATCTATTGTTAGCGATGATGGGCCATGGCTGTGTGAGTGCGCGCGCTGGGCTGTAAAACTGGTTCGTGGAGCCATTCTGGTGACGTCACGAGCCGGGTGTTTGACGGGGGTGGCTGCCGCAGCGCCAGGACTGGAGAGTGGAAATATGACCGACAATGACCTCGACCACAGCCTGTGTTAGTGCTTTACTCTCAACGTTTAGGATTCGACACTTGTAAACACGCGATTTTATCATCGCTGCTGCTGTTTTTAGATTAAATCCGTGCATTTGGCGTAGGTCATTAGCCACGAGCCTTGTCTTATCTCTAGAGCGCGACACATCCAGCGCGTGTCTGTGTGTGCTTTGAGGCTCGCCTCCAACCTTATTACCGGAGCCGTGCGCTGTAGGCTTTTGCTGTGCATTGAAATATGGATAAGGCCAAATCAGTGATGGATCAGAAAGGATCGGGTCCTTGCTGCACAAACGGCATGCACAAGCCACTCCGGCGACAGCTGAGCAACGGGAGCTGTAGCCCGTTCAGTCCGACGGACGATATTCACCACCATCTTCACCACGACCCTCAAACCAACGGGTCCCCGGCGAAGAGGTGTCGGCTGCGGAGGCGAATGGAGTCAGCGAGGAAAAACCGACCGCGTAAGTTTATAGTCAGACACCTTCAGAGTTCAGCATATAATATTTGTACGTTTGATTTCAACAGTGTCTGATAAGCAGTAATGCCCTAAGATACACTGGTAAGGACGTGTTCATGTCAATGTTTAACACATTATTGCGAGAGTAATGGTTTACACTGGCCGTTTGTTAGGGTTAAAATGATTTTTTGCCAGTGTAATGGCACAATATATATAGTTACCCTAATTGTTGGGGCAGTAACTGGCATTGAACAATATATGTGCGAATTCATTTCTTGTAAGGTATTTAAAGTGTCGTATCGACTTCAGGCCTCACAGTTTTACCTCAGGTAACGTTAATAACGATTTTTGAACAAGAGTCCAAAGTAGGGTTCAGAATCTTAAGGAATTTATCGATTCTTTAATTAAGTACTTTTGAGTAGAAAGAAATGAAAATTTGATTTAATTTACTGTTGCCAAAATTGTGAGGTAACTTTAACGTTAATTACAAATTTCCAGAGAACACGTAGGTTTATAAAGTTCATGCAAAAGGAGTTGACAGATTTTTAGATAAAACACTGTATTTGGATCATAATAATCTGCGGTTCATTAAGTCAGATAAATCAGTAACTCTTATGACTGATTCATAAGTATTTTGTTTTGTTTCACTAAAAAGAACCGAGTCATTTGTCCGGGAATCGGACTACACAGGACGCACAGTATGTTTCTGATTCACTAAAAAGAACCGACTCATAAGAGTCATTAGTTCAGAAATCGGACTACACCGGTCTCGTATGTTTTACGCTGTAGATTCAGTAGCAAACACTGTCAGATTGGTTTAATACGGCGTTCCGTTCGTATCAGCAAAGGATGGCATTCCAGTTTTTTAACTCTTCTCGAACGTACACGAAAATGATTCACTTCTGGCTTAAAAATGCATTCCCAATCCTAGTACTGTCTTCATTTCAATGCTGTGTCTGGCTTGTGTTCCGAAGAGTGTCTTTTGTTTTGAGGAAACCTTTGAGACTGTTCTTCTCGCTCTCTGATTGGCCGTTGTGAAGTCAGGAGGTGTGCTGAAACCGCTCCTGGTGGAAAGGCTCGACGCGTTTCGACCAATCAGCGCTTGACTTTTGTCTTCGCGTGGCCGCTTTAAGGGGCTAGACAGAAACGCCCCCACCCTCCGCTATACAGAATTTCTCCGTTTTTACTCAGTTTTGCAAAGCGACGCTAAGAATTCAACTTTTAGAGTGTAGTTGTAATGCATTACAAGACAAACTAGACTATTAATTGCGTTTTGCCTGTGGGCTCTCCTGCTGTTTGAGCGTTTTTGTTTGCACCTGAATTTATTAGGATTACCAGCAGGATGAAGTTGAAGTGTTCAAGGAAGCCAGGTAAGACATCACCTCATTCTTGTGTGATGTTGTAACACATCTACTTCCTTGGAAATTGCTCTGATAATAATTTGATTTCCTTGCAACATACTCTGGTGACACTGTAAATTGATTTGATTTTTTTCTTTGGAATTTACTAAAGTGCAAAAATGTTGTAAAACAAAGTGTCAACTTAATATAGCGATCACACAGTTGAGTGAGTCTTTAGTTGTGTCAGACTGCATGCCAGGCCAGCTTGTCAACATTCCTCTGCCCCAGCTATGTTTTGTGTGTGTGTGGTAATGCCTTTGTAGCAGCATTTTTGATTGTTCTTTTATCTATGCTCAACCTATGTACAGAGTGTTGAAATGTATTCTTACCACCACATAAACAATATTTTAGAGTAGTGTATTAACCATAGATTTTTAAAAAATATATGTTTCTATCTCTGTATTGTGAAAGACTTGTATGACCGGACAGTTTACATTTGACATTTATTCATTTAGCAGACACCTTTATCCAAAATGACAAATGAAAAATACAAGCAATTTATTATAAGGAGGCAATAACACAAGAAGTACTGACAACATAAAGTTGTTGTCACATTGTCCAGAATAGCACCAGCTAGAAGAAGGAGGGATATAAGAATAGTAAAAACATGGAAAAAGAAGTGTGAATTGTTATTTCATCAAAACAGCAGGATGTAGTTAAGTGCAAAGTTTTGGACTGTCACAGGGTTTTGTTCTTATGTTCTTTTCAGTGGTTTTGTTCAGATTCACACACCACAAGCACACAAAGTGGATAGGCATTGAATATTTGTGAATATAAAAAACTATTATTATATTATATTAGATTATTATATTTAAATTTATGTATATGAATATTTTGACTGCTTTTGCAGTACATTATACTGAGTGATTGTAGGTCTGACATTAATGTTGAATTTGGTGATGGCAATGTTTCTTCTGTTCTAGTTTGATGGGTGTTTCAGGTACTCAGTGGTCTTCATTCTTGCTCTTTTGCACAATCCCCTTCTCTTTCACATGGACACTCACTTGCCTGCCAGTTTCTCTCTGTCAGCCCCTCTCCTTCTCGTTGGTCACATGCTCTCTCGCCACTTCTTTGCCTTTCTCAGCCCCTCACATGGACATGCTTGCCTGCCAAGAGAAGTAAACAGACCTTTCACCCACATGGGCTGTTTGATGTCATTATGTCACACCACTGTCACACCCCCCTGTTCACCTGCTGCTTCTGGCTCAGGTCATTCAGGTCAATGAAGAAGCAACATGGTTTCATTCCTGGCTATGATGTTCCTCTGCATTTTTCACTTCAAATAACATTCATTTTCCCTGTGTTTTTTAAAACTATGGAAGCAAAGCACGTGCATATTCATTTAGATGGGCTCTCATCCACTTGATTTGCATTCTCTGAAATGAGAGTGACGTCCAAAATAACCCTCCCAGCATACGTCAACATCTATATTAGTGGAGGACAGAAGTGTGAGTGTCATTTGAGATGATGTTGTAGCAGAGAGCGTTCCGGTTGCAGACAAGTCACCTGTGCAGCACCAGCTGACAGTGTTTTTATACCTGGAAGGTCAGATTGATCTGCGTGTACAAGGCTATTCAAGTTCAGATCTGTGTCCCTGACCTGCCCTAATTCTTCCAGTTTTCACTGGGGTCAGTCCAGTGAATGTCTGATGTAAGAGTCATATCAGTAATGATGTACCAATTATTTGATAAGACTTTGCCCCTGCTGCTTGTTAGACGCTGATCTGTATTTCAGGTCAAATTTGATATTTCTGTGTACTGATATGTATTTAATTATAGAAACAGACCTGTGCATCTGTGTGAACGTTTGTACTGGTTCTGCTGTCTTGGTGTGTATCTGTCTGTCTCTCACCTGCTAAGCATCCTGGAACATGGTAACTGCCTGACTCTTCATTAGATGCTGCAGTGTTGCTTGGGGCAAGCAAGCCTCTGCCTCTCTTTAGCCAACCTGCTTGCAATGTTTGGATTAGCTTACTTGCTTTTAAAAGTTTGGGGTCGGTAAGATTTTTTTGGATTAGTGGCTTTGAAAGAAGTCTCTTATGCCCACCAAGGCTAAATTTATTTGTTAAAAAATACAATAAAAACAGTAATATTATGAAATATTACTACAATTTAAAATAAGTGTTTTCTATTTTAATATAGTTTTATATTTAGTAATTGCAAAACTGAATTTTTTTAGCAACCATTACTCCAGTCTTGAGTGCCACATGATCTTTCAGAAAACATTTCTTTTTAATATCAATGTTGTGGAAGCAGTGGTGCATTTTTTTTTAGGATTCTTTGCTGAACAGAAAGTACAAAAGAACATCATTCTTTGTGAGAAAAAAATCTTTTGAACAGTAGCATACATACTACAAAAATATGGTCAAGTTGTTGTTCTTATGTTTTAACTCACCTTTCATTATTTATTGTGTACTTGAGGGTTCTTTAGAAGATTTTATTTGCCAATCCAGTTTATATACTGTCTTCTCTTTGGAACACAACTTATACAATCATGTTGATCAGTCTCTTTATCTCTTTCTAGCCTTTCCATGGTTTGGAATGGACATCGGTGGTACTTTAGTAAAGCTTGTTTACTTTGAGCCAAAAGACATCACTGCAGAAGAGGAGCAGGAGGAGGTGGAGAATCTGAAGAGCATACGCAGGTACCTCACCTCCAACACGGCCTATGGCAAAACCGGTGTCCGTGATGTACACCTAGAGCTACACAACCTGACAATCTGCGGTCGCACAGGGAACCTGCACTTTATCCGCTTCCCCACCGCTGCCATGCACAGATTCATCCAGATGGGCAGAGATAAGCACTTCTCCAGCCTGCATACCACACTGTGCGCCACTGGTGGCGGGGCATACAAGTTTGAGAATGATTTCAGAACGGTAAGGAGATGTACCACAGCATGGCTTTCAAACTGGTTTGACAGTAAAATCAAATGGTTAATATACAGCAGTGTGTAGTAGTATTTTGGACCAGTGAGATTTCACAGTTACATTACGTCACGATAAAGAAGTGTGTGTGTGTGTGTGTATAAATACTAAATACTATACTATTTTTATTTATTTAAAATTAAATAGCCTACTGTTCAAAAGTTTGTGGTTTTGTAAGCCTTTAATATTTTTGAAAGCAGTCTCTTATGCTCCCCAAGGCTGCATTTACTCAATCCAAAAAAACAGTAAAAACAGTAATAATGTGAAATGATTACATAAAAAAACAAAACAAAACAGTTTTCTGTATTTTAGAAAATATTTGTAAAATTCAAAAATTTAATTTATTAAATTGTATTTATTCTTTTTTTAATTGAATTTATTAAATGTGATGGCAAAGCTGAATTTTCAGCAGTCATTATTCCAGTCTTTAATGTCACATGAGCCTTCAGAAATCTATAAGATATGCTGATTTAGCGCTTAATATTACTGAAAACAGTAATATTTTTGTGGAAGCCGTGATAAACATATTTTCAAAAGAACAGCATTTATTTGAAATGGAAATCTTTTGTAAAAATGCAGAAGTATATAATGACATTTTATTAAGTATTAATTTATTAATTTTATTAAAGTATTAATTTCATTAAAATCTTACTGACACCAAAATTTAGAACTTTAGTATATATTATATATCTTGTTTTTATTTATTTATTTATTTATTATTTTTTAATCAAGACAGATTTACATTTATTGCTTGCTGCTTTATTATTGTGTTTAGGACACAGTGTTACTTTTAAACTGACCTGTAAAAAATAGGTCTTGGTTTGGTAATAAAGTCCAAACTGCTCAAAGGAAAGGCTAAGCATCACATTTTTTTCATTAATAAAAGTATGTTCAAGAAAAAAAATCTGGAAATATGTTTAAGGGAATGAAACTTGTACATTCAGAGCAATGAGTAGTCATGAATCCTTCTTTTTTTTTTTCTTTGTAGATGGCAGACCTAGAGCTGCTGAAGTTGGATGAGCTTGATTGCTTAATCCAGGGGCTGCTGTACATAGACTCTGTCGGTTTTAACGGTCATCCTGAGTGCTATTACTTTGAGAACCCCTCCGACACACAGAACTGCATCAAGAGACCCTGTTGTCTTGACAACCTTTTTCCCATGTTGCTGGTCAACATTGGCTCGGGCGTCAGCATTCTGGCAGTCTATGCAAAAGATGATTACAAAAGAGTGACAGGCACCAGGTCAGCACAGCTGAGCAACATGCACCATATAGAAGAAACCTACAAATAGGAGTGACAGTAACATGGCCAGACTTTGCCCAGGCCCATTTAAACTAGTTTATTAACATTTACATTGATTTGGCAGATTCTAAAGCAATTTCGAGTGCATTACACTCTCAATAACTAGAGTATGTGATAAAATTAGTATTTTGTTTCCAAAAGAAATTCACATAGGGATGTTTTATTGTTGATAATTGCTAAAAAAAAAAAAAAAAGTAGTATAAAATAACAAGCTAAAAGTTCAAAGTACTGGTTGTAATTTACAGTTATTCTACTGAAAACAAAAAAAGCAATTTGCTTATTCTGTATTTTCTATGAGCAACTTTTGCTGAGATCCATCCATGCCATGGAGCTTTTATCTTACAATTTCCCTCTCCAGCATGAAATATGAGTTTACATTTGCCATTTGCTAACCACATGAACTTGATTGTTTCCTCGTCTATCATGGACACAGAATAAAAAGCCTGTTAGAAGCACAAGAACACACAATCACCTCCTGCTGTGCTCATTTTTCCCTTTGAAACATGAGATTGAGTCATCTTCAGATGATAACAAATATGATTGACAACAGAGTAGGTTGTGAAGTTCACTGTCAGTTGAAAGATGAGCGTTTTAAATGTGGTTGTGCCAGAATGGAACAGCCGTTCTGCCGTGATTGACAGATGGGAGGATGTTTGTCAGCAGTAGTCAAAGCTGATGTGCAAATCTGTCACACTTGCAAGGAGGATCAGGAGCTATTACTCCTATTTTACAAACCTCTGTGTGTATTTCCCTGTCAATTTGATCCTGTTCAGTTTAGTAATTTCTACCACATTCATTTACACTACATGTCAAAAGTTTGGAATAATTCAGATGATTTCATGTTTTTACGCTCACCAAAGCTGCATTTGTTTGATTAAAATACTGTAAAATCAGTAATAGTGTGAAATATTGTTACACGTCAAAGTAAGTTTTTAAACAATTTTTTCTATTTTAATATATTTTAAAATGTAATTTAGTCCTTTGATGACAGCACTGAATTTTCAGCAGCCATTACCCCAGTCTTCAGTGTCACATGACCCATGATGGTTCTTCTTATTCTCTTATAATATTTCAATCAATATTGAAAACCGCTTTTGCTGCTTTGATAACAAATAAAAAAATTTTTTCAAAAGAACAGCATTTATTTGAAATGGGATTTTTTTGTAACATTGTAAATGTCTTTACTGTAATTTTTGATCTTTACTGTAACTTAATACGCCCTTGATGAATAAAAATATTATTACTTTATCTTACTTACCCCTAACTTTTGAATTGCAGTTCACAGCTTCCAAACAAATATTAAGCAGCACAACTGTTTAAAATATTGATAATAAGAAATGTATCTTGAGCATCAAATCAGCATATTAGAATGATTTCTGAAGGATCATGTGACACTGAAGACTGGAGTAATGGCTGCTGAAAATTCAGGAATAAATTGCATTTTAAAATATATAAAAATAGAAAACAATTATTTTAAATTGTAATATTTCACAATATTACTATTTTACTGTATTTTTAATCAAATAAAGGCAGCATTGGTGAGAATAAGAGACTTTTCAAAAACATAAAATCTTAATTATTCCAAACTTTTTGTAGAGTATGTGTAATATGTAGACCAGTGTTTCTCAACTGGTGGGTCACGAGGTGTACGGCCAAAGAAACGACATCAACAACAAAAAACGTAATTCTAAATGTTTTTCTGATGCAAGACTTTTATTTTAAAAGATGTGCATGAAAGCTGTTGACACTTCTGTCAGATACAGTTTAAGTAAAGAGTGTCTGAGAAAAGTGCGCTGTCAGTAGCCTACCGATAAATCACATAACTGGTACTGCGTGTGTTAGCTGGGAAGGATTTGCATGAAGGTATGATGATATTCATTCTATTCAGGAGCTGTTTCCATGTTTCATTAACAGTTCATGTTCGTGTATATTCACCATGGTAGCTGTTGTTTCCAGAACCCAAAAATACCATGTTGTTTTCACTTTGTGTCATTTTGTATATGTTTAAATGACTGTGGTGGCCCAACGTAGACGTTGCTTTGTGTCGCACTGACCCCAACACTTGTTACTTGTCTCTTTTGTAAGCTGGCCTGTTTGTGACCTTGGCCATAGGCACATAGTTTAAATTGTGGTCACAAGGTCAAATTGTATGCATGTATGAATGCACATGTGCACTTTAAATGTGGCCTGTAACCATGTTTTGACTCTAAATGTTTTTTGCTCTCTTTAGTCTTGGTGGAGGGACGTTTTTGGGGCTCTGCTGCCTGTTGACAGGTTGTGAGACGTTTGAAGAGGCCCTTGAAATGGCCAGCAAAGGGGACAGCACCAACGTGGACAAACTGGTGAAGGACATCTATGGAGGAGACTACCAGCGCTTCGGCCTACAAGGGTCTGCGGTGGCTTCAAGGTACAAAAGACACTCAGTGTTTGTGTGCGTGGTGTCAGATGACAAAAATCCACAAATGAAATGTGATGCTGCTGAGCTGTATTTATGGGGTCTTGCGTGTAGGCTTTTCTGTTTCATGTGACACAAACGCATGAGATCCCACTTTCTTTAAAGGGGTCATATGATGCGATTTCAAGTTTTCCTTTCTCTTTGGAGTGTTACAAGCTGATTGTGCATAGATAAGATCCCTGAAGTTGCAAAGACTAAAGTCTCAAAACCAAAGAGATATTCTTTATCAAAGTTAAAAAATGGCTATTTGAATTTACACTGCTGTTTAAAAGTTTGCTGTCATTTGCTTTTTTTTAATTTTTTTTAAAGAAATTAATACTTTTATTCAGCACAGATGCATTTAATTGATTTAATCAGGACACTAGAGACATTTATAACCTTATAAATGATTGCATGTATTTATGTATTATTTATACATTTTAATCTATATTTATTTTACTGGTTATTTTTATCATAACTGCACAATCTACACTGATTTAGATGCATAGTCTATAGTAATTGTACAGTAAATTATAGGAGTGCCATGAGACTGTTGCATTATCCAGCCTATGTTATTATGCAAGAAGTAGACAAACTGGTCTTTTTCTGAGTGTCTGATAGGTACATACCGTAATATGTGCTTGTTTTTTATTATAGCTTTGGGCACATGATGAGCAAAGAGAAGAGGGAGAGTATTTCTAAAGAGGACTTGGCCCGAGCCACGCTCGTCACAATTACAAATAACATTGGCTCCATCGCACGCATGTGTGCAGTTAATGAGGTGTGTTTGTGTGTGTGTGTGTGTGCATCTGCGTGCAGTCACCAGCAGCTGTGAGCATCTGTCTGGCCACTCTGGGCTTCTCTACAGTGTTGCCTTGTAGCCTGGTGATCAAGCAGCATTGTACAGGGCTTTCAGGGTGTACAGAACATCATCAGAGCAGAAACTCCCAACAATATGCAGAGAATACATGGTGTTATCACATTAGCTACTATCTATGACAAGATGATGGTGGCAAATGCTTTAAATTTTTACCAAAAACACCAATTTAAGCACCTCCTATAAAAAGTCCATAAAAGGAATTGCTTGTGCTGGGACTCCCCCTGCTGGTGCTGCAGGAAACAAACTAATTTAAACAGACTCATGAAATTTACGCCTGCAGCAAGAATGTAACACTCAGCACTCAGTTTAACTAATTAAATAGTGTTTAAATCTGTTCTGTAGATTCTGTAGATTTTCTTCCAAAATGAGTGTGGAAATGTGAAAAACATCCACGAATTCTATCTGGGCTTGGTCATGCTGAGTGATGTTTCTGTTTTGTCCTGTAGAAAATCGAACGGGTTGTTTTTGTGGGGAACTTTCTGCGTATAAACACTGTGTCGACAAAGCTTCTTGCCTATGCTATGGACTTCTGGTCCAAGGGCCAGCTGAGGGCCCTTTTTCTGGAACATGAGGTAATTCTCTCTGTTTTAATAATTTATTTTTAATCTGTTGCATTTATTTTCACTCAAAATGAAATGCACTATATTTAAAAAGATTGAGGTCTGTAAAATGTTTTTCATTAAAAACATCCCACAAAGTCTCTCATGCTCACCCAGGCTGCATTTATTTCATCAAAAATACAGTGAAAACAGTAATATCATGAAATACTATTAAAATTTAAAATAACTTTTCTATTTTAATGTATTTTAAAATGTAATTTATTTGTGTGATGGCAAAGCTGAATTTTCAGTAGTCATTGCTCCACTACCCAGTATCATTCTAATATGCCGATATAGAAATATTTTTCATTATTATTAATGTTGAATAAAAGAATACTGGACCCAAACTTTTGACGTAGTGTATAATAGTGAAAATTCTCAGAATAATTTATCTTATATAGTGTTAGTACATGTATGTTTATATGTACACTTAAATGTGTGTTTCAGGGATACTTTGGAGCTGTCGGTGCTTTTCTAGAACTGCTGAAGTCGTCTGATGATGCATAAAAGAAAGAAATCATCATCTCTGATCCAGAAACTACTTCCACACAGAAGCTCCAACAGGAATACTGGGAACACAAATTTAAATGAAGCCATTATACTAATTAACCTGTAAATAACCATAAAAATAAGATTCTAAACAATATTTTTATGAGTAACTTAGTCTCCCTCAGACTGCCGACTGTAACGTTACCTTATTGCTAATTTGTTTTCTGGTTGTTTTTGTTGTTTTCATTTTGTAATGTTTGTAAATATCATTGTGAGAGTTTATTGATGGCCAAAACCTGCTCTGTTAAAGTTTCGCTATTTTTGTCATGCCCACCAGGTGGTTTCTGTTTTAGGTCTGGTTAAATGATGGACCTTTTAAGAGTTTTTGTTACGTTAAACTGCTGTTCAAACCCCAAATGTTTGACACACTATTCTAGTTCATTTTTAAGCCTCAGGTGCTATGTTAGATGTGTGCCGACTGACAGGGATCCTCGTAGTAAGGAAAAGACACTGGTCTCTATACAGCATAGAGCAACCTTTTTCCGGTTGTATCTCCTTTCACTCTTCCTCTTCACTACAGTTAAGAGTTCTCCATGCGTTTATGCATGAAAGTAATTTTAAACAGGAATCTGTTCACTCTTGGAATTATATCAGAATAGTTGAACTTTTTAAAGATATATTTACGCTGATTCACATGAAGCCTTTACTTATAAAAGAATACACAGAAAGCTCAGGGTGTCACTTTTATTTTTGAGAGGGAATTCTGTGGGACCAAGTGGCCAATTTGACAGACACTTCAGATAGAAAGCTCCCCTAACATCCCACATTTTTTGTCCTCTTTGTCCAGCTTTGCCTTTTTTTCATCCTGCCTTTTCCCATACTTTTTCCTATCTAAACCAAAGCTACTTCTGTCATCTTTTTCTGGATGCACACAGTTATATGCATATACCTCCTCTTTGGTTGCCTTCCTCTTATCTAGAATGGTACTAAGAGTACTTGAAGTAGCCGTGCGATGACAAAACAGAAAGATTAAGTCACTATGACAGCAGTTACCCACAACCCCCGTTGCTTAGTATTCAAATATCAAACATGTTTAGACAGTTCTAAGACTCAGCCATTGTGTTTCCATTGTAGTGCCAAAGTGAGACTATGAGGAGTCAAACCAGACAGCCTGCCAATGCAAGCATTCCTGCTTTGCCAGGCCATGTACCACATTACTTCTCCTAAAAGTTGCCTAGCATTAGAGTATTTCTAAGATCATTCTAAGTCCAATATCATATGTCATTGAAAATATAAACACCACTCCCTTACTAGTTACTACTCTGTTGTTCTATTCTCCTTGCTGTCGTTCTTGCCTTCTTTGTGATTGATTTGTTCTTTTAACCTCTGTGGCTGTTTTTAGGTTGTGTTTTCATTTTATTTTATTTTTTTAACTTTTATTACATTTTTGTTATTTCTGTTATTTTAACTGAGATTTCCCGGGTAACTTAAACTTCAAATCTGAATTAGATTTTGGGGACCTCACATGTCAACTGCAACATTTTTCTTTTTCCAGAAAAAAAGACAAAATATATATTTTTTATTTTAATTTTAATTATTTTATTTTATTTTTTTCATAAAATCAAACAATTAAAAATTTGTTTGGTTAAAAATCTTGTATACCTTTATAATATTTAATTATGGCTTTGGTTGGCCTTGAATATTTTGAATTAAATTATTTAACAGCATATTTTGGGTACAAAATTTGATGGTCATTGTGTGATTTGATTTAAATTTTGTTAATGTTATTATTATTTTTGTTATTACTGGATTTTTTTTAATGAAAATTATCCGGTTTTAAACCCCTCATTCTAGATTAGGATGCTCTTTTTGTTTGTATACCAAAACGTGCATCAATATGAGAGTTGTATGCTGTATGGATGATTAACATTGATAGGGATTGTAAATTTATGTTAGTAAGATGCAAGTATGAGCATGTTTTTTTTAAGTTTTCAAGCCTGTGTAATTGCACTGCACAATTCTATGCTATACTTAAAGCAGTCATTCATTATGCATTAGACTTGAATCCACAAAATACAGCTTCATGTTTTGCAAACATTGGTAAGGTTTGAAGTAACTTTTGTTGTCATACCAGTAAGCAACAAAACCAGCTGCCAGTTACAGCAATTTTGTTTGGTAAAGAAACAATGCACAGACCTTAAAGTTTAAAAGCTGTATTAGTCTATATCATAGACGGTTGTACTAATACAAATCCTTACAGATCATATTAATGCATATGGTTCTCTTCCTCTGAAAGGTGACCTTTCACTCCTGACTTTACTTGCTATGCAGTAAAGTCAGTTGCGCTGAATGTTGTTGGCTAAAAGCAGCTTGGTTAAGAGAGGGTTAGAAACTAGCTGCTCGCGTCCTGTCTGCCTTTTTTGTCAGTAACACTGTTATAAAGAGAGAAAAGGGGCTTTTGAAACATTATTGTTCTTTTTCTGTATCTGGGTGTTTTCTTTTAATTCCTACTGACATTTTTAAACAAATTATCCTTTGAGTTGCTGGTTTGATGTTACTTTAATGGATACTTTCTGCTGTTATATTCGATTGTAGAAACATGTAAATATTCCTGTCTTTGTTTTTCACCTCTCAGATGTCATTAAAGCCACACCGTGTTGAAATTTGTGGCTTTAAGAAAATATGAGAGAGTTGATGTCTGTGTGATTCACTGGGTTTAATTGGATGCTGTTATGCAAGAACATTTGAAAGAATAATAAAGTTTAAATTGTATTATTTACGATTTTGTGTTTTATTATTTTACGATTTTGTCTTAACACATTGATAATGCAAATGTAGGGTAGGCTACTTACTAAACTGAACATGAGAAAGGGAACGAGGACAAAAATGTTAGGTACAATTGAACCATTCATTACCTCCTAAAAACTTACTAGATAAATGCTTTTCAAAAGCAAATGAGTGGCTCACCTTGCCCCCTAGGGTAATATGCATAGGCAAACCGCTGTTCTCCTGTTATCTCCTGACTGGCCCCCTTAAAGCTATAGCTTGAACCCTAAGAACTCAAAACAAACGGTGGGGGTGGGGTCTTAAAAGTACATATTCTTTTTACATACCAATATATGTCTCGGTTTTGAATTTTCAAACACTTAAGTAATCACAAAAGTTAGTTTACAAGACATTTTGGGCTTGTATTTTTACCGACGATAAACAGTCGCGGACATAGGCTAAATAATTTTGCTGAGGAGTAGGCTACAGTAGTACTTTTTAGGGTCATCATCGGACAAAACTAAAACTATTATTGATTTAGATAGGTTTTACATTTTAAATATACCTTAAGGAACTTTAGTGTAGATATAAAATGATTTTTAAGTTGACAGCTAAATGTAGGCTACTGAGTTTGACCAAAAGAGCGCTTGAGTTGCTCGAGACGAACCTCAACAGACTGTGTCCTGAAAACGTCCTATTGAAATTCTATTAAAATAGTCGACCCCCCCTGAAAGTCATTGTATAATATGCACACAGGGTGGTGTGTGAGAGAGGGAAAACATGGCAAATATCCGACCCGGGACTGCAGTTAACGGTAGTTTAGACCTCAGACATGAAAGCAAGTAAGAGGTCCCCTGTACTTCCACCCGTTGGCTGGTTGTTTTCCGCCCTGTTGTTCTGTCCAAGCGCGCACGCCGCGCAGTGATGCAGAGCCATGTGCGCCAATGTGTTCCACCGCACTTTGGAGGTGCGCAGCGGTTGTTTTTGTTCCTCGTCTGCTCTAGATTCTGTACACTGGGAAGTGTGTTTCAGAGTAAGTTCGTTTCTCTTTGACCTCTTCAAACGTTCAGTCATGTATTTTGTTTGTTTGTTTGTATGTTGTTGAGAATACTCCCCAAGGGATTGTACACAACTGTTATGACTCTTCTCATCTGCTAATTCATAATTATTTGTCTAGCTAATGTTTTGTAAAGACATTTTATGCTTGTACCTGTATTGATCCAGAAAGATTATTTTTACATTCACTCTTCTGACCTCTCCTGGTTCCAACTATTCAATGTTAATTCAACTATTCAGCTGGTTGCAGTTATTCAATACTCCCATGTCTGTTTTTTGCTCTATGTTTATGAAGTGTTTATCACTTACAGGATATGCATAGTACGTTCCTTTGGTTATTGATATATATATATATATATCAGCATTTCTTGTTATTATCACTGTTGACAACAGTTGTGCTGCTTATTTTTGTGGAAACAGTGATACATTTTTTTCAGGATTTTTTTGGTGAACAGAAAGTTAAAAAGAACTGCATTTATTTGAAATAGAAGTCTTTTGTAACTCTGTAATGTCTTTACTGCCACTTTTGATCAATTTAGTGCTGAATAAAAGCATTAATTGCTTAAAAATACATTTTAAAAAACATCTTACTGACCCAAACATTTGAACAGTAGTCTATTTCAAATGTTTGGGTTAGTAAGATGTTTTTTTAATGACTATCTGACTTGTGTCCTGAAAACGTCCTATTGAAATTCTATTAAAATAGTCGACCCCCCCTGAAAGTCATTGTATAATATGCACACAGGGTGGTGTGAGAGAGAGGGAAAACATGGCAAATATCCGACCCGGGACTGCAGTTAACGGTAGTTTAGACCTCAGATATGAAAGCAAGTAAGAGGTCCCCTGTACTTCCACCCGTTGGCTGGTTGTTTTCCGCCCTGTTGTTCTGTCCAAGCGCGCACGCCGCGCAGTGATGCAGAGCCATGTGCGCCAATGTGTTCCACCGCACTTTGGAGGAGAGCAGCGGTTGTTTTTGTTCCTCGTCTGCTCTAGATTCTGTACACTGGGAAGTGTGTTTCAGAGTAAGTTCGTTTCTCTTTGACCTCTTCAAACGTTCAGTCATGTATTTTGTTTGTTTGTTTGTATGTTGTTGAGAATACTCCCCAAGGGATTGTACACAACTGTTATGACTCTTCTCATCTGCTAATTCATAATTATTTGTCTAGCTAATGTTTTGTAAAGACATTTTATGCTTGTACCTGTATTGATCCAGAAAGATTATTTTTACATTCACTCTTCTGACCTCTCCTGGTTCCAACTATTCAATGTTAATTCAACTATTCAGCTGGTTGCAGTTATTCAATACTCCCATGTCTGTTTTTTGCTCTATGTTTATGAAGTGTTTATCACTTACAGGATATGCATAGTACGTTCCTTTGGTTATTGATATATATATATATATATCAGCATTTCTTGTTATTATCACTGTTGACAACAGTTGTGCTGCTTATTTTTGTGGAAACAGTGATACATTTTTTTCAGGATTTTTTTGGTGAACAGAAAGTTAAAAAGAACTGCATTTATTTGAAATAGAAGTCTTTTGTAACTCTGTAATGTCTTTACTGCCACTTTTGATCAATTTAGTGCTGAATAAAAGCATTAATTGCTTAAAAATACATTTTAAAAAACATCTTACTGACCCAAACATTTGAACAGTAGTCTATTTCAAATGTTTGGGTTAGTAAGATGTTTTTTTAATGACTATCTCTAATTTTTCAAGTTTCAGAAGATGTACCTTCAGTGAGGCGGTCTGTTGAGTCTTTAATTTGAAGACTGAGTCATCGCATAAATTCTGACTGTGGTTTAACGGACATAGATTGAGGTGAGTCTATACCAATCAAGTCCAGCACAAAGTTGTTTTTTCCATGTCTTTGTTCCATGTCTGATGATTTTTGCAATAAAGTAACTACTTTTGCCCCATGAATTAGTTTTTGGCCCTCTCTCTTGGAATTGATGAAGACACACTGTGTTCCTTGCCTCCCTTTGGACCAGACTAGTGTGTGTGTAGTAACTTGGTCACACTCTGTATCATGGAGTGTTTATGTGGCAGACTCAGACAGGCTCTAATTTCTTTATTTTGCTCGTACTCACTAACCATAGCATTCACACGTTCATGAGGGTGAGCAAATGATGACAAGAATGTTAATTTTCTGGCTGAACTATCCCTTTTATCTCAGAGACATAAGTGATACATTTTTAGTATTTAATCAAAAGCACCACAGTGTAATTTGAGGTAAGTTCACAATAAAAATTGAGATTTATTTCACACAGACTGATTTAGATTGCACATACATTTTGAGAAGAAGGCTAAAGTTTAAAAAATGTTCTGTTTCTCCTGCAGATTTAGCTTGATGACATTTAGAAACTCCTTATATATGAAAGCAAGAGAAAAACAGCAAGTAAATTTGTCCCAAACAGAGCCAGAGAGAGCAAAACCAGCTGAAACTGGACAGAAGAGGAAACAAGAGGCTGAAAGAAGTGAGAGAGTGAGGGAGAGGATGAAGAGAGGAAGCATCTTGTCCAGCAGAAGTCTAGAGATGAGTGAAAAAACTCCACATTCAGCGGCCGCTCCTGATGGCGGATGGGGCTGGATGATCGTAGCCGGATGTTTCCTCACCACTGTCTGCACACGTGCAGTCACTAGGTTAGTTCATGACTCCCCCAGGATCAGTTTTTTTTTTTTTTTACCAAGAATTAAGGTGATACCCTCATGTCACTTCAGTTTTTGCAAGTTTAATGTGAGCCTAAATTAAACTAAAAGCTGCAGAAATGGCCTTTAAACTCAACCAAGATTCTTATGTTCTCTTATGTTTTTAAATTCTGAGCCACTAGCCAAGACTGAATTACTCATGTCTTTTAATATTAAATCATTAAATAAGCAGAATAACTACCCCAGGAGTAATACCCAGTTTTAGATGTTGTGCTTAAAAGGAATAAAATGAATGTTGCTCTAAGCACCAGAAGACCTTTATCATATTGCTTTCTCAAATCTGCACTTTCTCATGCTGGTTGCAGGTGTGTTTCCATCTTTTTTGTGGAATTCCAGTCATACTTTTCCAGAGATTATTCTGCAACTGCATGGATACACTCTCTGCTGGACTGCACCACAATGTTGTGTGGTAAGACTAATGCCAAAATAAAAAAAAAATCCCCAATGTTCTCTCTATAGAAAAACTCTCTGACTCAAAGGTGGCAGCTCAAACTGTATAAAACTATATTGATTTTAGGAGAACTTTGTTTAAAAAAAAAAGTCTCTGTTGACAGGTTTACAGTGCATAGTCCACTCTAAACCAGATTTATCTTGCTGCTGGTGAGAAAGAATGTTCACAGAAACACATTTTCATATTTATGTAAGGGCCTTGGTTATATCTTGTGGTATCTGTTTTTCACAATTATTTTACTTAGTTTAAGCAGTTAGATATCATAGTATTTGTCAAATGTTTGAGATTACATACACATATCAATACATATTTATTGATAAATATATCATAAAGATAAACATATTCTTAAAAGCACTGTAGAGGTTAATAAAAACATATGCAGATGTCACCTTAAGGAGCTAGCTTTTCCAGTGTAATTTAATAAATGTCTTGTTGACATCTGTTGAAACACATTTTTAGGCTGTTTTTTTTTTATTTTTTAGAATAAATTGTTTTAGAAAGCAGTGTCTTAAATAATATTATTTTATTTATTGGTATAGGTTGATATTGTATATTTATCAGTTAATATTCAATATTTATCTTGCTATCCACCACTTTCTCTTCATTCTTTTTCTCATTCTCTTTATAGCTCCACTGGGTAGTTATATAGGGAACCGCCTCTCTTCTCGTATAGCTATCATGTTTGGTGGGCTTCTTTCCGCTGCCGGCCTGCTGCTCAGCTCACTGGCCACCAGTGTGGAGTTCCTGTATCTCACACTGGGTGTTCTTACAGGTTTGATTCAGATTTGCACACATACACCAGCATACAAGCTTTTATTTCAACTGCACCGATAATCATAATTTGGGGAAGCTATTGTAGTCACCTTGCCCTGCAATTATTATATCAATTTGCAACAAACTAGGCAGGCATGTCTGTAGTCATGTATACTAACCTATCTGATTCTCTGCACAGGTGTGGGATTTGCTCTAAGCTACACTCCTGCAATTGCCATGGTGGGTTCTTACTTCAGCGAGAGAAAAGCGCTGGCTTACGGGATCGCCATGTCAGGCAGCGGCATCGGAACCTTCATACTAGCACCCGCTGTCCAACTCCTCATTGAGCTCTTCTCCTGGAGGGGTGCGCTGCTCATTCTGGGGGGTTTGGTGTCCCACCTGTGTGTCTGTGGAGCACTTATGAGGCCTTTGGAAGGTCAAAGCGGGAGACAGAAAGAGATGGACTTGGAGGGTGCCAAAAAGGTTGATTTCCTAAATGTGAAACTTGCTGATGCAGGCCACAATATGGAAGTGAGTGCACAGGAACAGAGATCGGTGGAGGTAAAACTTACGAATATGGAAAAGAGTGGGGAAAATGAACATGCTGAGAATATGCAGAGCGATGGAAAAGAACGGATGCAGTCAGAGCCTTCTGATGCAAAGCAAACCCACTCCAATGTGGAAATAAACCTTAGACAGGAAGACTCAGAGACTGTGACCAGAAGCACAGATGAATGGGACAAAGAATCAAAGCCAAAGTGCTCAGATACAGACATCTCAGTCCCAGCTTTAGTACAATCAGGTGACTTGCCTTTGGACTGTTTGCCAACCAACCAAGAGGGCACAACTTTCCCAGAATCAAACACTAATCACAATACTTTGGCACAGTCAAAAGTGGCAAACACAAAATTACTGAAGCAGTCCAGGGACAATGTATGGTCTATCATAAGAAAAACAGTATTGAGAGAATATTCCTTCCTGTTGATACCAGACTTCTTATTGCTGTTGGTGTCCTTCCTGTTCCTTGCATATGGTTGCAGTGTGCCATTTGTGTATCTTGTGCCATATTCCCTGAGTGCAGGTGTCAGCCCTCAGCAGGCAGCATTACTCATGTCCATACTTGGAGTGTCAGGGATTGTCGGTACTATCACTTTTGGATGGATTGCAGATAGAAAGTAAGAGTTTGTTGTGATTTTTTGCTAACTCTCCCATAAATTGCAATATTATAGACATTTAAAGGGATAGTTCCCCCAAAAATGAAAATTCTGTCATTAATTACTCACCCTCATGTTGTTCCAAACTGTAAGACCTTTGTTTATCTGTGGAGCACAAATTAAGATATTTTTTATGAAATCCGAGAGCTTTCTGACCCTGCATAGACAGCAATGCAACTGAAATGTTCCCAGACCCAGAAACGTAGTAAGGACATCGTTAAAATAGTCCATGTGACATCAGTGGTTCAACTGTAATTTGACCAAGCTATGAGAATACTTTTTGTGTGCAAAGAAATCAAAAACAATGAAAATATCTTAATTTGTGTTCCGAAGATTTGGAACGACATGAGGGTGAGTAATTAATGACAGAATTTTAATTTTTGGGTGAACTATCCCTTTAAGAGCTACATCTACACTAGACGCCTGTTAACTTTATAAAACCTGTGGAGGTAGGCATAAAAAATGTGATATTGTAATCTGTTTTTAAATTCATATTCATGTCTTCTAAGGTAGATTAAATCTATACATTCAGTACGATTGGAAATCAACCCTATCACCTTTTCTGGGTCCAAACGCTCAAACAGATACCAAAAGCAAACAACAAACAGTGCTGATACACACTCGCAGTGAGCTCTGTTTTCTCCATGCTGAAATCTTACCTGGCCACACAGTAATTCATATGTTCTGAATCATTAAAATATTGGTGTCTGGGACAGCATGAGACTTTAGTGTACACTGTGAGTTTTTAAAAGCTTGACTAAAAGGTGTGCTATTAATAGTGCTCATAAATGGCTACTGAGATAAAATTCTCACTCGAAACAAGAGTAGAGATTCCTGCACTACTTATTCAATGATACTGCACCACTGCTATTGTAATTCTTCACAATTCCTATCCTTCACACTGTGGTTTGATCTGTATCTATGTGTGTTGTGTTCAGGTGTTTGAGGCCATATAGGGTGGTGAGTTACATGCTGGCTGTGGGGTCAGAAGGGCTGAGTTGTCTCTTTCTGCCTCTGCTGAATGGTTTTTCCCTGCTCGTCCCCTTTTCTCTCATCTACGGCTGCTTTGATGGAGCTTACGTGGCACTTATTCCTGTGGTGACCTCTGACACCGTCAGCTCCACCCACCTGACCTCAGCTCTGGGAGTTGTTTACTTTCTTCACGCCATCCCCTACCTCATCAGCCCACCTATTGGAGGTCACCAGATTTTCCACTCTCTATTTAACTGAATGATATGTAAATTAAATTAAACTATTTAACTAAATTAGTGTTTTATGAAATTAGTGTTTTCTCTCTCTCTTAGGTTGGCTAGTGGATCATACAGGTTCCTACACAGCTACATTCGTCCTCAGTGGAGTCGCTCTGATCTGCAGTGCTGTGATTCTGGCTGCTGTGAGAGTTATCATCCGTTGCACTAGAGGAAGCTCTTGCTTAAACTGACTCACAATCAGGTACAATGGAGATTTCTAAAGCAGTAGAAAAATACTGCGACATTGATGTCAAGAAACATGAAAGTGCCCCTCCAGAGTTAAAAATGGTTTTCACGTGTTCCTGATCTGAAGCTTATATCAGTCAGAGTGATTGCCACAAATACATGCTCTTTTGTAGCATTAATGAACACAGAACTGACCAAAAGAACACACTGCTCTACTACTGAAATGCAGGATTTATGTTCCAATTGGTTAAAAGCGTGTTTGCTACAAAGGAAATTAGTTTTGTATTTGATACTTATTTGTTATTTTAATGTGTCTCTCTCAGCTGATATCTGATTGGCTAGTCAGAGAAATGATCAGATGTGCTTTGCTCAATAGTTACATGTACACTGCTTCATTCACAGCTCAGTGTTTTTATAATGTACACTACCGTTCAGAAGTTTAGGGTCTGTAAGATTTTGATTTTTAAAAAAAAGTCTCTTACGCTCACCAAGGCTGTATTTGTTTTATCAAAATACAATAAAAAAGCAATATTATTACAAATATTGACATATTATTACACTTGAATTTTTATTTTAATATATTGTAAAATGTAATTTATTCTTGTGATGGAATAATTTGCTGAATAAAAGTTTTAATTTCCTTCAAAAAAAAAAAAAAATCTTACTGACCCCAAACTTGTGTACATATTTTATGTTAAATGTTTTCAATACTACGTTTTTAAATATGGCAAAATGCGATGGATTTTTTCTAATTATGCATCAATCTACAAAGCTTTCTTTGGACTTGGATATTCTGTGTGAGCCATTCAGAGAATGCCTTGGTGAATAGACTTTATGGATTGAAAAATGGCTAAATGTCAGGGCAACAAGAATAATATGAGATGCTATATATAACAGTATCAGATAACCTGTATTTCATATAAAGATCATGGACAATATTCTCCCTTCGAAAAGAATTATGGGTATTCGACAAGAAGAGAAACAAATTATATGTAATCTCTTGATTTAAACTTTTAGAAAGTACATCAAATACCTTGTGACTCTTGTTTTGTGCTGGAACACTGTTACAATAGATCATTTTCAGTTTGTCACAATGTATCTTCAGTCTCTCCATTGGCAAGCTAAAGTTCTTTGGAAAATGTGAAAAGAAAACATACATTTCTAATGTTTGAAAATCACTTATTTGTGAGAAAAGATTTTTAATTTGCATATTATTGCAAACAGTAAACACAAAGTTTCAAAATCAACAAAGCAGGCAGATCTGATCAAGTAGAAATGAGAAATCAATTAAACGAATCAGTGTTTTATAATAAATGTTTATCTATTTGAAACAGCAGGACATCAACACATCTGTATATCCACTTTTCAGAAATAAAGGTCTCAAAGGAAAGCAGTTATAAAAGTGTTTTATATTCACATGTGAACAGTAGTTATAATTAAATGCAATAAGCAATGCAAGGGCTAACTTTACTTTGAGACGATCGGGATAATGTCTGACAACCTCCTCAAACAGCTCAATGGATTTCCTAGCCAAAGTCTCCCTTTCCTCACTGTCATCCTTCATCAAGAAAACCTTCCATTTGTATAAATTAGCTACAATTCTAAGAACTTTAGTAGAGGTGGGTAAATTTTCTCGAACCCTTTCTCCTTGAAAACCTTTCTCTGTGGAATCTTTTCTGTAATACTGAAAAATGCCTGGCAATCCCTCCATGTTTTTGGTTTGAAAGGGGTTCTCTCTAGTAAAATTTGTATTTCTTCATCATTGTTTTCTGCTTGCACCTCAGACTTTTTCAGTATTTAAAGGAACTGAAGGAACAAATCATTTGAGTCTATCGCTATTGCCTTTTACAACTGCTCTAAAATTTCAGCATTCAGCTCTGGAGTGAATTCAGATTTTCTGTAACCCTTGCTCATTGCTTTGGCAAGACCTTTGTGCCATTCATTCCTTCCTTTCTGGTTCTGCTTTTAAAGCCATCTTAAAATAATAAATCGCCTGACGCTTCTTGGACTTGTTGAACTTCACCAGCGTCCAGCCCTTTTCTCCACTGACTTCAGGGTGTAGAGCACATCCAGGTGGAGCAGGATGCATTCCCAGAAAACTCTCCACCTCTTCTAGGTATCCTTTTCTCTTATCCATCTCTCCCATAAAGAAGTAGACCCAAGCCAGGTTAGCCTTGTTAACCTGCAGCCAGACTCCAGCTTCTTCTGTTCCCTGCTCCTGCATCACACTTTCTGCTTTATGCAGGTACTTCAGCGCCTCTGTGTTGAAGCCGAGAGTCTGTTGGATGTAGCCCAGCAGGTTGTAATGGTGAACTAGCCTGGTGCATCCCTGCTCTAAGATGTCTTGTATGTTTCTCTCTAACTCTTGGAGCTCATTTTTATTGCACCCCAGATCCCAGGTGAAGTGGCACTCCAGCTTCTCAAGGGTGCATTTCAGAGGAGAACTGAAAGAGAGAGCTTCATTAATGAACAGTAATGCACAAATGCTATTCACCCAATAAAGTTCACCTATTCTCATATAATGCCAGAGAACAGATTGGGTCAAAGAACCCGTTTATTCTTGGTTTACGGTGACTGCAAAAGTGTAGCATTTGTATTTATTTAGTGTTTTTGTTTATTTAGTGTATTTTAAAGTTACTTCAGTGTGAGCCTCTGTCCTTGTAAGTGTAACATGTATATGTGTCGGCAGCTTCAGCTTGTGAGGAAACTTTGGACTTCATGGAGTTTGAAGTATTGTCTGTTAAAGATGTACGACAGCAGACAATGCCTCACACCCCTCTCAAAAGTCCTGGGCCCAAATGAGTGACAGAAGCATAGGGAAAAAAAGTTTCATGATTGATATTCTGTGACAATCGTCCCTCAATCTCCAGAACAACTTCAAAAAAACGAAGAGAGAAGGACCTCGTCATATCATCATCCAGTTTGGCATAAAAACTGTACACAACGTGGTATGAAGGATCATACATGCACCAGTCTGCATGAAGGGAAAAATCAGCTTCAGAGAGGATTTTTGCAAGGACAGAGAGCTCATGCTCGACATGGAAGCATGACAAAGAAGAACAACATACCTGCAAGAAGGAATGCAGTCATTAATGGTCAGAGAGTAACTGCTTCCTCCATGGTGAATGCAGTGATGTGCCTGGTTTGAGCTGTAATTTTTATTTTTGTGAGGAGAGTACTGAAATATAAGGCACATAAACATCTGAATCTAGAATAAGAGGAATAATATCATTGCAGTTCATTTCAGTTCTTTGTCTCTTTCTCTGTTATCTTTAAATGGCACTTTTTTTTTGGAAAGAAGCAAGTAAAAGTTAATTGTTTCTTTCGCATTCAACTAATGTAGATGTGAGATTTTGAAAGTCACAATGGGGTGGAGACCACTGATTTAGATCAGTGGTGGAGAGAGACACTTTATTTTCTCATGGAACTTCCCATTCAGCAGGGGTCGCATTTTTGTTTAATTGAATACAATTATTGCAAGTTCAGGCAATAGTAAGGGCTACTGGATTATGGTGATTCTTGAATCTAACTTATGTAATTATATATTGATTAATGTTTATTGGTTACACTAACAAGGCCACTAATAGTTTTTTTTTTTTTTTTTTTTTTTTTCGAGATTTAATAAGAGATGGTGATGTTTTCCTTTCTTAAAATATAAAGTTCCTATTATAGACAGTGATTTTAGAAAAATGATGGAAGCTGATACTGATAATTCAGAATTAGATATTGCTATTACTCAAATGTCCAAAGGAAAGTCACCAAGTATCAATGGGATTACAGTAGAAACGTTTTTGGCCCGAAATACGAATCCTAGTTTTTGACTAAAAGAGTAAAGCTAATTTATCACCATCTATGGAAGCACGGTTTAATTATTCTAGTTCCAAAGTCGAACAAGGACTAATTATTTTAGACAAGCTGGAGACAACTGTTTGCAAATAGACTTTAAAAAGGCGTAGTTTGGCCTATAGTGCAACACAATCGGCTTTTATTAAAGGGAGAAGTAGGCTATTCATATTAGATTAGTCCTTGATTATAACCTAACTATTTAATTCCTCAGATAAATTTACTTTTCCACAAAAGCCACACGGATCCACCTCAGAATGAAATATTTTCTGTATAAAACCACTATTAAAAGGGTAAATTATTATATTATATTTATGGTAGATGTGCTTTACGTTGTTGGTTGTCATCTGTCTTGTAGTGTATCATTTGTAATCAATCAAGCAGTCAATCAATCAATAAACAAACAACGTCGTCTGCGTGACTGCGTCCGCCTTGCTCCTGTAGTCAACGCCGCCATCTAGAGTTTTGGCTATGTAGGCTACTTGCCAAAACTTAACGGCACGGACACACAAACGGAACATCATCGACGTTGGATACTTTTAAAGGTTTAAAACGAGCTACTTTTCATACTACTCAGAGTCGTAGCTAAGCTATAACACCTAGTGTAGCCTATAATGGTTAAATTCCTCAAATTATAGGTGGAACAAAATCAAATGAATAAATATTTTATTTGAAGTTATTTTGAGTAAATTTAAGCTCAAAAGAGATTTTTTACAAAAGGAAAAGTTAAAAACTGAATAAGAAGCTAGAATAAAATAAAAAATAAAAACAGCAGAAGAAACGAACTGTTCTTTTTAGCTCCTGTTACCGTTCTTTACTAGGCCTATATATGGCTTTGAAAATACACACGGATGAAATTATTATTAGCAAAACATTTTCTGTATTACACCCTGATCCCCCTCCCAGTAGTTTCTGTTCTGCATATGTTTTCGTTTTCACTGAAAGACACTCTGTGACAGTGGAGCCTTCACAAGCAACCTCTGAATGTTACTATTATTGTTATGTATTTATTGTTAGTTTGTTTGTGTGTGTGTTAATGTATCAAGTCTTTTTGAACCATGTAGCACACATTATGGCGCTGTCACACTTGTCTTGACATTTTTTCCCCTGCACCTTATTTGCATCGACCAGCAGCGTGCATTCTAAGCCTCGAGAAATGCTGGGAAATTAACCACTTTTCCGAGGACATGGCAACTCCAACTCCTAATGATAGTGGTAAAAGTCTAGAGACTTGTTCCTCAAACATAATGCATAATGGTGTTCTGGTACAAAGTTCTCACGTGGTTTACCACAAATGCAAGCTGTTTTGTATCATAATTCACATGAATCACTGTGTTGTAGTACCAGGTTTTACTGAATCAAACCAAACTCTTATTTTCATGACTATAAAGCACCATGGATAATCATTAGATATATTCCAGAAATTTTGTTTACAAGTAACATTTGGATATTTTGATGTTGATGCTGTTATGTGGGTGTGACCCGACTGTATTTCTGATTGGCTGTTCTGACATTTGAGGAGATTTGCATATTCACCATATTATAATGAATATTTGTGCTAGTGTTTACAAAGTCAATATGCATTTAAAAAGTATTTTGTTGGTTCCACCTGTTTTTGCTGTTAGATATCTTCATCGGGCAATTTCAGATTCAGTGTGTATTCAAAATCAATTCGCCACTCAGAAATAGGAGATGAAGTCATTATAAGCAATAAAGGTTTATGTATTTTTTCTTAACAAGTTCCATTTAACAAGTGATTTTTTTTATGGGATGGAAAATTACTGCAGTTTATATCCTTGAATAAACACTTAAGAAATGTCCACTTGTCATTCTGGAACTTAATTAGACAGAGAAAAACTATTTATATTTATTAATTTATTTATTTATATTGTCCTGGGTTAAATGTTCTTACTTTGACATTCTTTTAAAATAGGTGCCGAATGGCCTAAATGGCTTCAGTCCTTCACACAATGCCATTAAATAGGTAAAGAGCTCAACAGAGGTAAAAAGAGAGAAATATTAAATACATATTTTTACAACAAGTTCAACAAGTTCTAATTTTCTGGCAGAGCACAATCTCTCCATTATAGTTTGTCCATCAGGTAAAACAGAGAGAACATCATCCGTAGTGATTTTTGAGGGTTGTTGCTAGGGGTGGAACGGTTCGCGGAAAAAAAATCGAACCGTACGTTCTCCACATTCGGCACGCGCTAGGACCGCGGTTCAACTTAAATCTGACAACGCATCTGTAATATGGTTTGCTATAAATAACTGTTGATGGATGCGCATTCTGGCTTCCCAGTACATTGCACCAACAGCGATGAAAAAAAAAAAAACCTTGGACAAACCATTATTCACTCTCGTTCAATGCGAATGCCATATGCTGGAATATGAGCAGTCATTTATTCCGTCATCACCCGGGTGCTGATAGCGCGCGCGCACAGGTGAGACCTGAACAGCACACGTTGATATCTGTGTTTAAGCTAAACTCGTTTAAGCTTTGCCAGTTTAAACATTTAAGAGCCAGAGGACGCGAGCTCGCGCGCGCAGTGAGAAGATTTGTGCGTGCGCTCATTCGAAGCGCGCAAACCCGCGACTCAGAACACACGCACATATTAAGCTCTCTCTGAAGTATTGTGTTTAAATTGACAAATTCACACAAAAATTATGTCAAAATGCCCGTCGTTGGTAAGTATCCTATAGCAGACATAGCCGGCTGAACATACTGTATCAGTGCACTGGATCAGTGCATTCTTTTAAAGTGACAGCACTTTCTTAATATTAATTAAACAGCAACAACAACGAAATCAATCACTGCTCTTGATTGAATAGTTTTTGTAACTTTAATAAAGATTAATCTTTAATTTATACAGTCAATTACGCAATGCTGTTTTACACTTCATTACTTTATTCAATTTCTGTACCTAAAAACTAATGTTAGACCTACCTAAAAAAACAGAAAATCACTGTTTATTTTGTTTGTATCTTTACACTGTTGTATTTATTTGTGCTGTTGCTGGTAGTTAGATAGATTATTCTTATTTTCTTTATTTTTATTTGACAGTATAGTTTTTCCCTAAACATAGCACATACCGAACCGTTCCAAAACAGTGACTCTAAAACTGTGATACAAACCGTGAGTAGGTTGAACCGTTCCACCCCTAGTTGTTGCATTAAAGCACATTTTAATCGTCAATATGAATTCTTTCCAGAAAATTCAAAATTTCCTCACAGCGAGGATTTTTGCCATTCATCCCAGTTTTTTTAAGAATCTTAATGCTCTTCTGTTTGTCATCTGAATCACCTGGGATTTCTGCCACTTTCATGTGAAAGTTGATTGAATCTTCTAACCGTCTGCAGTTGTATAGATAGCAGGCATAACTATAGTAAATATACTGTTGGCTGTGGGGAGGGAAATCATCTATCTCTGACAGGAGCTGCTTGTAAATCTTATTTGCTTTCTCACTGTTGCCTGCGTACTTGTGCATTGATGCAAGGGCTACCTTTTCTCTGAGTGAGTCAGGATAATGTCTGACAACCTCCTCAAACAGCTTAGTGGATTTCATAGCCAATGTCTTCCTTTCCATTTTGTCTTCCTTCATATTGAAAACCTTCCATTTGTAGCAATTTGCCAGATATTTCAACACTCTATTTGAGGTGGGGAACTTTTCTCGAGCTCTCTCTGCTGCTTCAATGGCTTTATCTACAGAAATGGTTCCAAAATACCTGAAAATAGTACCCAAACACTCCAGGTCTCCAGTTTCAAGAGTTTTCTCTAGTAAATCTTGCATCTGTCTCTCATTGTCTTCTCGTTGCACCTCAGACTGTTTTTCTAAATAAAGAGCGTGAAGGAGCAAATTGTTTGGTTCTAAATTCAGATGCCCTGCTCATGGCTATGGCAAGTCCTTTGTGCCATTCCTTCCTTTCTGGTTCTGCTTCTTCTGCTTCCTTAAAATAATCAATCGCCTGACGCTTCTTGGACTTGTTGAACTTCACCAGCGTCCAGCCCTTTTCTCCACTGACTTCAGGGTGTAGAGCACATCCAGGTGGAGCAGGATGCATTCGCTGAAGCCTCTCCACCTCTTCTAGGTATCCTTTGCTCTTATCCATCTCTCCCATAAGGAAGTAGACCCAAGCCAGGTTAGCTTTGTTAACCTGCAGCCGGACTCCAGCTTCTTCCGTTCCCTGCTCCTGCATCACACTTTCTGCTTTGTGCAGGTACTTCAGCGCCTCTGTGTTGAAGCCGA